ATCCACATATATGTCTAGCATTTATCCAAAAATACTATGTCCATGTACATATCTATGGTTATCTTTTAGAGCTTTGGAATTTTTATAATGGCTCATTGGCTTTACTATACACACATTTCTGTGTATCTCTATGTGTGTATATAGGCTTCTGAAAGAAAGGTGTTAATTATATTCATTTAGGAAGAGAAATGCTAGCGTATTCTTGCCATTTTACTTTTATGTCATGGTGAGTACAAGAAGTACCTGGGCAGATAGGTACTCCCAGATGAGCCCTAAGGAGGACATGCAGCCTGTCTGCCATCTCACCAGGGCTGAGTGTGTAACTGGAGTGGAGTGACTGCTCTGTGGCTCAAATTCAAAGATACTCTGAAGTATATTCAACATAGCAGGATACTTTGGCTTGCAGCAATCAGCAAGAGCTTATCCATTTCTTCTTGATTTTTATTTGAGCTGTTACAGTAAAATAAAATAAGCTTATCCTGGCAACTACAGCATTGGCATGTAAACAACAGTAACCCTAGAATCCTCCATGGGGTGTAAAGAAAGACGCCAGTTCAGAGTTCAGACAGCTACACTTTTGTCTTTACTGCTTAAAACTTTAAGTTCAGAATTTGAAAATGTTATATAAATTATTTTAAAATAGATTACTGACTTTACTTCAAAATTCCTGTTTTATTAACAAACAAAAGGGTGGGTTTTACAAATCAAGGAAAGACAGTGATCTTATAGGATGTATTGACGCAGTTTGGAGTGGCTCTTCAGCCTGTGAGGGAGGTGGATTGTGGTGGATAGCAGCCTCTCTTGGCTTCACCCTGTCACCTGGAACACTCTCTTGTCAACCCAATGTAGCTCTTATAAAAGTCACCACGAAGTCACAATGTCTGTACTCAGCTCTTCTTTAAAAATCAGTACAAAGGAAGCCACAGTTTCTCTCGTGAGTCTTAATCTAGCCATTAGAAGTCTTTTGGGGAAAATACATCTATCACATCCCAACATCTGAAAGGAGACCCTTAGATTTACAGAACACTCAAGCGGACCACAGCATTGTAAGAAGGGATGGCCATTTTTTTCACAGACAGATTAGGACAGAGCAATGCATTTTCCAGTCTTTGAAAATGGAAAGACAGTAAAGCCGATATGAAACTGACAGGAAATAGCAGCATAGAATCTGCTTATCTCCTTCTTGTCCATCTGTGGATACACTCGGCATCACCGGTTAGGTGCCTGGAGTAGCGGGTGCCCAGAGAACATGTCTCCTGTCTTCAGGGGATGATCCCTCAACTTCAGCTCTCCGTGTCTCTACGCTAAAGAGAAGGTACCAGAAGATGATACACTGGAACTCTTTGATAAATGGATGCCCTGGAATTGAAACTAGGATGTGAATTCTAGGGTTATTCTGGATGCCCAGGTGGGGACTTGACTGCAGCTCAAATAGCACCCTCTGAGTGGCGGAAAAGGGTAAGGGAGTGTGTGCCCCAGACAGTTTACAATTGAAACAGGAAGTGCAACTGCTTTCTAATATATCAGAAAGAAGCTCTATGGAAAACGAATCTCAGGGATAATCTAACAACCAACCAAAAAATCAAAAGAATCTGACCGCTACACAGACCATTGGCATACTCACCCAAGAGTTTAGGGAAATAGATTTACTATTATGCATTATTCATGTATTGCAGAGACAAATAAAAATACATTTGCAGTATTATGAGTTTGTGGTTCCATCTGCTCTGCAATTTTAGTTTAAAAGTAAAACTCTTTATAAGTAAGTCAGGCATTGCTGAATACCTGTAGTAGAGCAAGAGGTAAAAGTCCAGGTACTATTCGCTCTGCCCGTTGGAATGTTGCTATCTAGGGATTTTTATCTCCATTACTGAACTATGACATTTATGGCTAAACGTATCCTAACTGATAAAGAACGTCTGAGCAGGAAAAAATATTCAATAAAAGCAAAGCAAACAAATGGACTGATAGAAATCTGACAGAGCACTGCTGCTTTGCATCGGCCAGCAAAGGAGACAAGGCAGAAAGGTTGTTTGTTTTTGACCACTGGGCTATGGCTCATGAAGACACGTGATATTCAATAGTGTCAGAAAGGGTGCTCAGCTCTCCAACAGCAGTGCATATGAGAGCAGATCAGAGCCTCGCTCAGGCTCCCACAGGCCATTGAGCATCAGAGCACTTTCCCCTTCAAAGCCCATGGTCATTAAGAAAATCAAACCTCAGCTTAAGGTCTCATTAGCATATCAGAAAGTGACAGGAAGGGTGATGGTTCCAAATGTGTGGTGACGTGAATGCAACAGCACAGACCATCCTGGAAGGACCTGTTCTCGGAGGCTTGTGGTGTCCCTGGGAGGTGGGATTTAAGCAGCTCTGTAAACCATCAGTGCCTGCACACCATGTTTCTTGGTCATCTGTCCAGAGTCCATGGGACAAGACAGTCATGGGGTGGTGGCAGGAATGCATGGCCGACACCCATCAGAAGAAGTACTCCTTTTCTCTCCCACTGGCCACATTCTGTACACGGAGGTCACATCTGAGGCCGGCCTTGGGGTGGCCCTCCTCCTCGGGCCCTTCGGCCTCCTTGTTGCTTCTGTACAAGGTCTTCTGCTGGTACAGGTGGGTGGCGATGGCAGCAATGCAGAAAAAGATGAAGATGACCACGGCCACCACACCTGGGGGAGGGCGTGAAGTAGGAGACAGTGTCAGATGTTAGGGCAAGGCCGTGCCAGGTGGACACTACGCTGTCAGCTTTGCCAGAGTCCTAGTGAAACAACCTGCTACATACCCCAGGCCTGTCTTCCTAGTGTGCTGGAAGAAAAGCCTGGCTCTCTAGTCCTGAAAACGAGCCGCTGAGAGACCTGTGGTCAAAACAGAATACTGACTGACCAGGAGCACTGGGGCACTGGGGGTTAGGTGTTGGGCTGCTTCAAACCTACTGGATGCTCTTTGGGAGAAAAGTGATGCTGTCTGCCCCACAAAGACTGGCAGTCCTGATCATTCTATACTGGCTGGGGGTTAGGCTTCTAGTGTTGTAAGATGAGCCCCCTAGGCTGGAAGACACCACACAGAGGCTCCAACATAGACTTGAGCAATGACTGTGATGAAGGTATTGGGCTAAACAATTTTCTGTTCTGTCATTGACGGGCCACTAAGAGAGGCAGGCAGCTTGGTGACAACTACGAACATCAGTGCCAACCCAGTGTGACCCTGCAGTATCAGTGCTGTGTCTGCGAGCATCAGAACTCCAGGGATTTCTGGGTCAGGTGATGACATTGGGTTTACTTGTGAGTTGCATTAACTCGGTACATACAGTTCTGTTATGCTTTACTGTAAAGGCAAATGTGATGGGATGGATTTATTATTGAAACTGTGGGTCGGGAGGCCGACTATACATACACTTCCTGCCTCTACAGAGCTTTTAACACTTTTGCTAAAGCTCCCAAACTGCACACATCTCAATAAGTTTGCTTTAAAAAAGTTTGGTTTATTGTAGTGGCATGGTTGCTGCAAAATTGCACTCAAACAGTAATGATTGTGAGGACAGTGTAGGTCCGGGCAGCGGATGTTCTGTTGTTGTGTGCTCTGTTTGTCAGTATGTGTCAGACTGTCTCAACAGCACAGAACATTAACAACAACATGGTATCTAACAGGAATACGTCATGACTCACATCCACACGTCTATGAATGGTTCCTGTCACTAAGTTTATTTAGGAACCTAAGAAATGTAGAAACTCTGGAACCAAATCAGGCAGAATCTCCATTTGTAAAGGGTTTGATGATTCAAGTTAATTCTGTGGTCCAAGCTTTGCTGCAAGGTTTAATAAAAACTTAATCAAAATCTCTGGGTGGGAGAAATCAATAATTGTAAAGCACTTTTCCATGACACTTATGCACAATCAAGCTTGAAAAACACTGAGTTGTGTTACAGTGAAAAGGTTTTCACAAATTATTGCACCAGTGAAAGTTAGACACATATAAACTTCAAAATATTGGCAAATAAATATAAAGGTGCCATTTGCCAGCCTTATACATTTAAGGATGAGTTGGAACCGACTCAACAGCACTTAACAACAACAATATTTGGGGATCTGGTGTAGCATGGTAGGATAAGCACTGTATTACTAAGCACAAAATCGGCAGTTCAAACTCACCAGCAGCTCTTTAAAAACCATATCAGGTTTGCTATGAGTCAAAATTGGCTTCATGACACTTAACAAGAACAACAACAACAATACAACATTTGGAGTTCTGGTTTCCTGCTGCAGGATAAGCACTGGACTGCTAGCTGAAAGATCAGTGGTACAAACCCACCAACAGCTCCTCAGAACCCTACACATGGTCACTATGAGTTGATACCAACTTGACAGCACTTAACAACAATACAGAACTTACAGAGCCCTGGTGGTGCAGTGGGCTAAGCTAATCAATGTGTTAGGGTTCAAACCCACCAACCACTCCACAAGAGAATGATGAGACTGTCTGTTCCCATGAAGATTCAGTCTTGAAAATGTTGAGGAGCATTTCTCCTCTGTCCTGTAGGGTTGCTAGGAGACAGAATAGACTCGATGGCAGAGAGTTAATACCACACTGAGGGATATAACTGCTGATGTCACGTGGATCTTGACTAACAGAGACTACCAGAAAGTTTATTATAACAATTTATGAATAACATTGCAAACAATAGGAATTGCAGAACACTTGGTTGTGCTCATGAGTACTTGTACATAGATCAAGAGGCAGTTCTTAGACCAGAACAAGGGGATACTAAGTGGTTTAGATTCAGGAAAAGTGTGTTAGGGTTGTAATCGCTCACAATATGTATTCAATCGACATGCTGAGTAAATAATCTGAGAAGCTGGGCTATATGAAGAAAACAAGGCACCAGGATTGGAGGGAGGCTCGTTAACAACCTGTGATATGCAGATGGCCCTGCTCATCGGAAGAAAAGAGGACATGGAGTATTTACTGCTGAAGGTCAAAAACGACAGCCTTTAGTATGGATTATATCTTAATGTAAAGAAAACCCAAATCCTCACAACTAGACCAATAAGCAGCATCAAATAAACATAGGAAAGATTGAAGTGGTCAAGGGTTTCATTGTGTTGATCTGGAGTGTGTATAAGGTGTAGACTGTGCTGGGTCACACAGGGTAACACACTGAGCTGGGGAAGCAGCATGCCGGTGAACAGGTTCTGCCTTCAGGAAATGACTGCCTCACCTGAAAGAATATGGCAGGGACATGCTCCTAGATCTCATCCAAACCTGGCAGCAGATGCCTGCACTTAGTGGGAATGTTCCAATGTTGACAAGCATTTTGCCTCTCATCTTGGAATGAACAATTGAGTGGCTATAATTATATTATAGACTTTGCTTTAAAGAGATAGAGTTGTTGTTGTTAAGTGCCATTGAGTCAGTTCCGACCCATAACAACCCTGTATAGGATTTCCGAGGAGTGGCTGGTGAGCTTGAACCATTGATTTCGCAGTTCAAACGACTTTGCAGTCCAGTGCATTAACACGCAGCGTCACACCAGGCCTCCTTAAAGAGATAGAGCAATTTCATCCAATTCCTATATCTCAGTCTGTTAGAATTTGCAGTAACATAAGAAGCTGGCTTTGGATGTAAGTTAGGGTCACCTTTACATTTTCCCTGGATGGTGCAATAGAAGGTAAATATGTTTATTGAAAGGTTTCAGGCCATCAGAAGAAAAATAAACCACTGAAGACTGTGTGGCACACTTCTCATTGATACACATGGGGCCGCCATGAGTCAGGACTAACTTAACTCAATTTATGCTGGCTGACCTGTGGTTTCTCTATTTTAATTTGTGTAGTTACTGCAGAATTCATGGTGACCTAGAAAAGCTTTATCTTCACTTATTGGCTAATGAAATTGAGATAACCTGAGTAGAGTTTGGTCACACTTCACCAGCAGCTCCACTTAATATGTCATTGAAATGACAGCTACCATGAACAGATTCTAGTTAGAGTATCCCTCAACATCTGTACCCATCCACCTGTCCCTCTGATATCACTGGTTTTCAAGGATACCATTGTTACACTAATCCTCCCCTTATACACTGTTCAGGAGAAAGAGGAAGGGCATCTAAAATGCGGAATGTAGGAGATGTGCCAACAGGACAATCCCTGGGGCCACTAGTGATATGTGGGGTGCACTCTACAAAAGGACAGAGAGCTCGGCAATCTTGAAAGCTTTCTCAACATCAGCAAGCCCATCTTTGCATGATACTACCAACCCACCTGCTCTGCTACAAAGCTCTAAGTTTGCAAACAGGACAAGCCCCAGTGCCTTTAGAAAGTAGACCCCATAGCTGAGGCTGTGCAGGTTTTCTCTGCCCTCCTGTCAGGATCAGGGAGAACTTCCCATTCTAGAACAGTACCATGAGGCTATGCAACCCTCCTTGATGGAGGGACTACAGTGAAATGCCACTCAGATGTGGAAATCGATGCTCAAAGTATTGCCCAGTTTTGTTTCACTCTCCTTTACAATCAGGACTGCGTACAGGTGAGCATTTCTCAGACCTGAATGGCCTTCCACACACTTGTTAGTCATTAAGTACCCTCTTCTTAATGACCTTTGGCTTTCTTCCTGTATGATGTTCTTGATATCACCCTACAACTCTTCTGGTCTTCAGTCATCAGGGTCTAATTCACCAAATCTGTTTTTGATATGATCTCTAAATTTAGGTGGGATATGTTCAAGGTCATATTTTGACTTCTATGGATTTGTTTTAATTTGTCATTCCCAACATAGTAAACTATATGACTGTCAGAGTCAAAAGGGTCAATACCAGTCCATTTCAGCTCACTAATCCCTAGGATATCGATGTTTATGCATTCTATTTCATTTTTGACAACTTCTAATTTTCCTATATTTATACTTCATACATTCCATGTTCTAATTATTATTGGATGTTTACAGCTGTTTCCACTTATTTTGTGGAGACACCGCCCATCTGTTATTACCAGAAATATTTCCCTCAAAAGTTTCCCACCAGTCTTGCATTTTGTTAGTTAGATTTCTGTGTTGTTAGACTTTGATACCACCACTTGTCTTGTAGTTTGCTGTACTGTTGGTGTCCATGTTGCTATGGTTCTGGAAGCTCGTCCACCAGAATACTAAATACTAGCAGTGTCATCCATGGTGGACAGAGGACAGGTTTCAGCTGGGCTTCCAGACTAAGAGACACTATGAAGAAGGGAGGCAGACTGCTTTCCAATGCTTAGTCACTGAAAACCTTATGAATAGCAGTGTACTACTGTCAGAGAGCACCAGAATATTAAATACTGAAACATGAGGATGACCAACAGAATATTTTCAGATATGGTACCAGAAGATGACCACCTGAGGTTGGAAAATACAACTGGGGAAGATCTGCCTCCTGAAACAAGAGTTGATCATGATGACATGAATGGAGTAAAGCTTTCAGAACCTTCATTTGCTAATGGGTCAAAAAAAAAGACAAACAACTGTAAATGTCCATTATTAATGGAAACAAGGAATGTATAAGGTATGAGTCTAGGAAAATTAGAAGTTGTCAAAAATGAAATGGAGGGAGGTGGGACTTAATGGTGAATTAGGGAGAAGTGTGGTGCAGACTTCCAACAGCAATAACACAGAATACCAGATGAGGCAGGTTCCAGGGATGGTC